AGAGAAATGTTTTAATATTGTAACATTGGGCTTAGTTGGGAGCAGAATTTCTGTATTCATACTAAACAACAATTCAGAACAACTAAGGGTTAATTTGCAGGGTTGATTACTTACTTAGCCCCATAAAGGTATATAACATTAATAATAATCACACATTAGTCATATTTTATGAAGTCATTTATTAAAAAAACTATTAAACAGGATAAAACTACCTGCAGGCATTTCTCTCTGAATGAATCAAGCCATGGTCTGAGTTTCCAGAGTTTGTCTTTCTTCTCCGTCTCAGATACTGTCGTGTTGTTTACAAACGACGTCAACAGCGATTGGAATCTGTTGCGTGGCATCACATCAGCAACAGGTGGGTGCCGTGTGTCCGTCTCCCAATACATACGGGTTCCAGCCATTTGTACAAGGCCCATCTTCAGGTACATGCCAAACATGTTTTCAATTTCCTTTCCAGTGGTGTTTACAGATGTTCCATGTGTCTGAAAGCTGTACTCATTTGTGTTTTGTGCCAGAGCCTCGATCATGTCTTCGGACACAAACGTCTGGACGTATTCCAGTGGTGTGTGGAGGGAAATGTCATCTCCTGTGATATCCAGACCAGAAAAATCTGTGTTGTCCACTTGCTGAGAGACGTCTTCTGAGTCTTCATCACTCTCGTCAGTGTCATCGAGTTCAATCTCAGCGTCACTCTCTCCAGTTTGGATGATATCAATCACATCCTGCACAAGACTTTCTCTTTGCTGGTGGCATCAATTAATTAACATGAATAAATATGCTTTTTATGTTGTAGTACATAACCTGAAGGAATAGATGCTCTCTAATTATCATACTAAAAGGAAAACATGCATACCCCCACTTACATCCACATCCCACATTCAGGAACATTTTCACCTTTCCCAGAACTGAATTGTCTGTTGATATCCTCTTTGTGGACAAAGTCATGGAATTTTAGGTCAGTCTGATCAAATTAACTACATTTTTTTAGAGATAAAACTTTTAAATCAGTCAAATTTGACCAGAACACAACACAAGGGTAGAATGTAAACTGTCCATGTATAAAGAAAATACTGTTTAATTTGATTTGATGAATTTATTCCACAATAACTACATATGTACATGCTCTAGACATTATAATAACAACCAAACAAAAAATGTAAAAGACATTTCACTTACTTGAATCTGATGAATCCAGTCCAATGAAACAAAGAGATGTTGTTTGAGTTTATGGCCATAAGGCGGGATTTATAAACAAATGTACCATCGAATAGCATTGTGAGACTGAACAATAGGACCCAATGACTATGTAAATGTAGTAAAAAAATAAGATAAAATACAACAGATTGTTTTTTAGGATGGCTAAAGGTAACGTAACGTGTTACAGAGTTAATCCTTATAATTACTAATTACCATTTTATTTTTATGACTTTACAAGTAGCATTACTTTGATGTAGTTCCCATACATCTAAATGTCATTCTACAACCCTGCATTGTAAATGACTAATTATTATTATATTATGTTATATTATATAATAGTTTTGTTAACAACCACAGATATTAGGCTCTTGAAAGATGTTGAACATGTTCGACTGAGATACCAAATTACAATGTGGACAATAAAAATATCAATAAAAAATGAGTTTAATTAACATTTGAAAGACAATAAAGCACCAAGTGTGTCTGCAGAGATAAAACAAAGTGAAAATCCTTCTGCTTTCACTTTAACAAGACAAATAACAAGCAGCCGTGTAGCGTTTCGAGACTTCCGCATAGTTACTCGCTGACGCACTGACAACCAACCAATGACAGAGCGGGGACAGCGCAGCCTCATTTGCATACCGTGTATTTAAGAAGCACCAGCTCACCATCTCAGTCACGTCTCTCACTTAAACAGCGAGTAACTCACCATGCCTGATCCAGCACCGAAAACAGCGCCCAAGAAGGGCTCCAAGAAA